CGCCACCAGGAGGAACCAGTCGCTGGAGCTTGCACCGGCGCGTGAGAGAGCGTGAGAAGTCCGATTTCCGATCGGTCAACGCCGTTGACTTCGCCGTGACATCAGCTTTCTGTATTGGTCAAGTTTGTTCGATTCCGAAAAGATTTGATTTGCGGTCAACTGTCCGGGCCAGCCAGATCTACATAAATTTTAAGCAGTAAGTTTTCTTCATCAAACCTTTAGATCCGCTGCGCATAGGTTTATGTTGAATGTTTGTCTGTGATTTGTGCATATCGAGATCCTCGTGGGTTCCAACAGTTAGCCTTGCATTGAACTCCAGCCTGGATTCATAGCTTAATAGCAAGGCTTGTAGTTCTGGTACAGTGTATGGCTCGAGTCTTGAGGTTACTCAGACCATCACTGCATCATATTCAGTTCCTAAGCCACTGAGTATATGAATGATCTTGTCTCCTTCCTTTACAGGTTGGCCAGCTGAGGCAAGGTAGTCAAAGCAAACTTTCATCTGATTTAAATACTGGGACATGGTTAAGTTGTTCTTCTTTAAACCTTGCAGTTGAATTTTATACTGCATCAGTTTGGCAGTGGTCTGACTTGAAAAGCTGGTTTCAAGAGAGTGCCAGATCTCTCTTGCAGTGTTCAACCCCACGGGTTGAATCAAGATCCCTTCACTGAGGGATGATAAGAGCCATGATGCAAGCAACTGGTCTTGTCTTTGCCAAAGAAGAAAATCTCCATTGATGACTGACTGATGAGAATCTGGATCTGTGATGTATTGGGAAGGAGGTGCTGCTTCATGGCTGATGTATTGCTCCAACCCGTATCCTCTTATGGTGGTTAGCACTTGCTGCTTCCAGATCAAGAAATTTCCTTCATCAAGTTTAGTGGATATTAGCTGGCTTTGTGGGAAGACAAGTGAAGCTGAGGTGCTGTTTTGAGTGTTTTTGCCATGGCTTCCAGATCCAGTTGTTGAGTGGCTAGAGTCAGCCATAATGTAAATGAGGTCCCTAAAAAATCTCGAGAAATGGATCAGTCACGGGTTGTTACACCCGCTCTGATACCATGAAACAAAACGAGCAAAGCATGATGGACAAGAAATGCACAATAAAACATTGTTCTTCCATTTTCAGCTAACAGCACAAAATCATGTGCATTATCATCAATGCGGCTAGGGTTTACAGCTTGCATTTATACATGCATGTCAGGTTGCTTTTTCTTTCATTATTTACAACATATATTAACTACCCTAGGATCATTAACACGTGGCAGCATCTCCTTCATTACTTGGTAGCTGCATGGGGTCACAGAATCTGCATGTGAGGTGGAAATCAAATGCTGAGGTGGCACTGGTTTGACTTGACGTTCAACACATTCTGAGATCTGTCTCCGCCACCACACTCCTCGTTCAACTACTCGTACCTGATCACCGCCCCGAACGAGTATTCACTGTTCTTCGCCAATTGTGCACCTGAATCCACAGTGACGATGAACGTGCGGACGGAGCTTTACAATCTCGACGGGCGGGGATGAGTGAGGGACTATCTATCTGCTGGCTTGACCCAGCTGCCGTCCCTGTATTTCTGCTTCTCTGTTCTGTATTTTGCGTTCTTGGTCTATTGGATCTTTATCTGTTTGCAAAACAAGAAGTCTGTGCACAAGATTCATTTGCTCATGGGGGTTCTTGTTATCATAAAGGCACTGAATTTGCTCTGTGCTGCAGAGGATAAACATTATGTGAAGGTCACAGGGACTCCTCACGGATGGGACGTTTTGTTCTACATTTTCCAATTCATCCGGGTCGTGATGTTTTTCACTGTAATCGTGCTGATCGGTACCGGGTGGTCATTTTTGAAGCCATTTCTGCAGGAGAAGTAGAAAAAGGTGCTGATGATCGTGATCCCTTTGCAAGTCGTGGTGAATATTGCATCCATTGTGATTGGCGAGACGGGCCCCTTTATTAAGGATTGGGTAACTTGGAATCGGGTTTTTCTTTTAGTAGACATTATATGCTGCTATGCGATTATCTTCCCGATTTTGTGGTCCATTCGGTCTTTAAGGGAGACATCAAAGACGGATGGGAAGGCTGCTAGGAATCTTGCAAAGCTTACACTTTTTAGGCAGTTTTACATTGTTGTTATTGGGTACCTATACTTCACTAGGATTGTGGTGTTTGCACTCAAGACATTTCTGCTTACAAGTACCAGTGGGTGGCTAATGCAGCCGAGAAGATTGCTAGCCTTACTTTCTATGCTATAATCTTTTACATGTTTAGGCCAGTTGAGAAAAACGAGTACTTTGCACTTGACGATGAGGAGGAAGAGGTTGCAGAGTTGGCTCTTAAGGATGAAGAGTTTGAGCTGTGAAGTCGGGTATCCGAATGCTGTTCCTTTTTGTTTTCGCTCTGCATTCGCGGATTGTGAGGTGCGGTTTTGCTATGAAGCCAATAAATGGCTTCATAGTGGAGCCAACTTTCTATATACAACAAGTAAACCTACCATATTCTGTGATTACTAAAATAACACTAATATAATAATTTTATTAATATGATAGGTTTATTTGTTCTATATAGAAGGTTGGTTTATAGCAAAACAGTTGTTCGTGCTTTCCACTTTTCTCACTTTGATTTTTTTCCTAGAGACCCGTTGATTATGTCATCTAACAGTGGATTCAACCTCTGGACTGTAGTCATTTCACAATTTCCTCATCATTATCTTGTCCTTTTCTTTTGTTCATGTGCAAATTTTATTTTTTATTTTATTTTTTTTTTTAAACACAAAATTAGTACATAAACAACTTTGGGGTTCTTTTACCTTAGAGCATCTCCAACCATGCCCACTGTACATACAGTTTCTGCAGTAAAATCCCACTAGTTATACAGTTTCAACAGTACCAGCAACTTCAATCCATTCCCTCTATAATTCCTCTCTAAAAAATATTCCAAGCATATTCTTTTCTAATTTAATTAGTTTACTAAATAATCTCCGCAAATTACATTATATGCGTGCTAAATTTTACATATCTATGTATATATATTAATTATTGGTTAATAAGATTAATTAATAAATTTAAATCAAAATTATAAAATTACATATAAAATTATAATAAGTTTAATGCATTATTCTTATTTTGTAATTTTAACTTGTTTATTTGAAATATTTATTAAGGAAATTTAAATTCTAATTAATATTCTATCATATTATTTAATAAATTATTCAATTTTCATTATCTACCATATTAATTACAATAATTAAATTTAAAACAATTATAAAATATTTTAATTCAACCCATAAAACTATTTAATACAATTAGCCCAATTATAGTTAAAAAAAAAAGTCCACCCACAATACAGCTAAATAGCCCAAAATACAACCCAATTTAATTTTTTAACAAAAAAAGAAAAAAAAAAAAAGTTATGGCAGATGAACAGTGGAACGGTTGCCAAACCGTTCCACAAAATCTCTCTGCCGTTTCCTGCACACATAGAGGACCCGATTGAAGATGAATTCTCTCCACCCTTACAGTTTCCGCTTCCTATAGCGTAGGGGTTGGAGATGCTCTTAGCTGATTCGTGACTTATGTGGTCTCCTGGTTCACTTTTACTTAAATGTGCCCATGAAAGTTTTTTTAGCTAAATGAATCACATTGAGAAAAAAATGGTGCTCTTGGTTAAATGAACATATTTTCGAAATTTTATATTTGTGATCATGTGTCCTGCTCGTTTTTATGGTACTCTCTCCTCCTCCAGGCATGGGAGCGTGGCTCGAGCACAACATCATTGGGATGTCGTATCCTCGTCGAGTTTTAGCATAGATATCAATATGGGCCTTCGGCTTCTCTCACTAATACTAAAAAAAA